GTCTCTGAGGGGGGGATGGGGGGCAGGGGGTCCCTCCAGGGGTCTCTGGGCCTCACCCCCATGTCGCGGCCCCCAGGGCTCAGCCTGCAGGCGCCGGCCAGGAACAGGTACCAGGTGAGGGCGAGGGCGGGGCACGGGGGAGGGGGTGGGGAGGGGGTGTGGTCGAGGGGCGTGGTGCGAGTGGTCTGGGCGTGGCGTGCAGGACACGGGCGGGGCCTGTCCGGATTGTGGGCGGGGCTTGTGGAGGTGGGCGGGGCCGGGGCGGACTCGATGCGCTCCCTTCCCCCGCCCCCCCCCCCCCGTGTGCATCCTCCCCGGTTTGGGGAGGGGTCCCCGCCGTGGCCCCCCGGGCCCCCCCCCGTGACGTGCCGCCCGCAGGTGAACCTGACGGCCTCGCTGGGAACGCTGGCGGTGGCGGCCGAGGTGGAGGGCGTGGTGCTGCGGGGGGAGGGGCAGCCTCACCTGTCCTTGGCCGCCGCACACCTGGATCACCTGAACCGGCAGCTGCAGTTCGTCACCTACACCAACACCCAGTTCCACCCCGACACCGCCGACATCGGTGGGTACGGGGGGAGCTGCACCGGATGGGGGGATGCTGATTCCGAGACCCCCGGGACCCCAGCACCCCCAGCCCCCCGCGCTCCTGGGACCCCAGTACGCCCCGGTTGACCCATGGAAGTTCCAGCCCCCCTGGGACCCCCAAGCTCCCCTGGTTGCCCTGGATCCCCCCAGGAACCCCAGCACCCCCGGATCCCCAATGCCCGCAAGGACACTCGTGGTGTTCCCGTTGTTCCCGTGTCCCCCAGTGACTCCCCGGGAATTCCGGCCTCTCCCCGGCCCCCGTTGCCCCTCCCCGTGTCCCCCCGCGCCCCCAGCCCCTCCTCGCCCTGCAGTGCAGTTCTCCACCGACGGCCACTCCGCCGCCTTCGCCATCCGCATCCGGCACCCGCCCACGCCGCGCCTGTACGGCCCGGGAACCGCCGGCGACAGCGACAGCGACAGCGACAGTGACAGCGGCGGGGACGGGGGTGAGCACGGGGTCCTGCACCCCGAAACCAGCCCTGCCATGCTCCCAGTGCTCCCAGTGCTCCCATCCCTGCTCCTTGGGACAGAGGCTGTGTGGGTGGCCAGTGCTGCTGGTGCTCCCAGTGCTCCCAATGCCAGAATCCCAGTGCCCCCAGTGCTCCCAATGCCAGAATCCCAATGCCCCCAGTGCTTCCAGTGCTTCCAGTGCTCCCAGTGCCAGAATCCCAGTGCTCCCAGTGCAGGTGCCCAATCGTCCCAGAACTGGGGTGACTGATGCACCCAGTGTGGCTTCCCAGTGCTCAGGCGTCCAGCACTCCTAGACTGGGCTCCCAGCATGGGTTCCCAGTACTCCCAGTGCTCCCAATGCAGGTTCCCAGTGCTCCCAGTATGGATGAGTGCCCAGCATTCCCAGCATGGCAATCCCAGTGCTCCCAGTAAGGATGGGTGCCCAGCATTCCCAGCATGGCACTCCCAGTGCTCCCAGTAAGGAGGAGTGCCCAGCACTCCCAGTGCTCCCAGTGCAGGTTCCCAGCGCCTCCCCCTCTCAGGGTACAACATCTCGGCGCTGGTGACAGTGGCCACCAAGACGTTCCTGCGCTATGACAAACTGCGGGGGCTCATCGCCAGCATCCGCCGCTTCTACCCCTCTGTCACCATCGTGGTGGCCGACGACAGCCAGCGCCCCGAGCCCCTGTCCGGGCCACACCTGGAGCACTACCTCATGCCTTTCGGCAAGGTGAGGCTCCTGGGGGGGGACACGGCGTGGGGACAGGGCTGTGGGACCCCAGACAGGGCACACGGGGGCCATGGGGCCGTGGGACATGCGGGACAGGAGCTGAGGTCCCCAAAAAGGGGGGACATGGAGGTGTGCAGGGTGGTGGGACCCCAGAGAGGGGGGACATGGGGGTTTTGATGAGGATGTGGTTCCCTGGGTAGGGAGGGGCTGGCAGGGGTGGAGACCCCCAGGGATGGGGGCCATGGGCGGGGCTGGCAGGGTGGGGGTCCCTGGGGAAGGGGGACATGGGAACTCTGTCAGAGCAGGGGGACCCCCGAGGGAGGGGACACGTGAGAGTGTGACAAAGTGACAGGAACCCAGGGGGCTCGTGGGGGGTTGGCAGGGCTTGAGGTTCCCTGGGGGATGGGGGACACGGGGGGCTCTGTCAGGGCTGTGGGATCCCGGAGGAGGGGGACACGAGGCTTAGAAGAGCTGTTGGTCCCCGGGGATGGGGGGCACGGGGGTCCGCGGGTACGTGCGGGGTGTCGGTGCCGTGTCCGAGGGTCCCACGCCGCCCCCGCAGGGCTGGTTCGCCGGGAGGAACCTGGCGGTGTCGCAGGTGACAACCAAGTACGTGCTGTGGGTGGACGACGATTTCATCTTCACCCCCCGCACGCGGCTGGAGAAGCTGGTGGATGTGCTGGAGAGAACCAGCCTGGACCTGGTGCGGGGCACGGGGGGCGCGGGGGGCGCGGGGGGCACGGGGGTGGGTACGCCCGGCAGGTCTCGGTGGTCCGGGGGTTGGCTCTGGTTCCCATGGCCAGTGCTGGACCGGGTGTGGGGGACTCGAGGGGGCAGCAGCAGGGCACGGGGGGGCAGGGGATGGCCAGAGGGTCCCCGTGCTCTGGGAGTGGCGCTCCTGGTGCCCCGTGTCCCAGTGCCCCCGTACCCTCAGTGTCCCCCGGTGGGCGATGCTGGGGGTCTCGGGTGTCCCGGGGGTCGCGAGTGGGTGACACCGGGATTCCCTGGGGACATTCCTGTCTCGGTGCAGCCCCCCCGCGGCAGCTCCGGTGCCCAGGTGGGCGATGTTGGCAGGGAACCGAGGGTCCCGGTACCACAGACCGGCGGTGCGGGGGTTCGGGGGATACCGGTGCCCAGGTGGGGGTCCCGGTGCCCAGATGGGGGTCCAGGGGGTCCCAGTGCCCAGGTAGGGGTCTAGAGGGTCTCAGGTGCTGGCACAGACCCAGAGCAGCGGCCCCGTGCCCCCACTGGTGGGTGATTCCGAGGGGTCCGGGCGTCTCGGTGCCAGGTGGGGATTCAGGGGGTCCCGGTGCCCAGGTAGGAGTCCAGAGGGTCCCGGTGCCCAGGTGGGTGATGCTGGCAGGGTCCTGAGGGCCCTGGTGCCACAGACTGGCGATGCGGGGAGTGCAGGGGTTCCGGGGGGTTTGGGGCTTCCAGAGGGTCCCGGTGCCCAGGTGCTGGCACAGCCCCAACACAACGGCCGCATCCCATCCCACCCCATCCCTCCCCACCGGTGGGCGATGCCGGGGGGTCCGGGGGGTCCCGGTGCCCAGTTGGGTGTTCCGGGGGTCCCGGTGCCCCCCCTCCCCCCCCAGCGCCCCGCTGTGCCCGCAGGTGGGCGGCGCGGTGCGGGAGATCACCGGCTACACCACCACGTACCGGCAGCGGCTGAGCGTGCGGGGGGGCGGCGCGGGGGGCGACTGCCTGCGGACCCGGCCCGGCTTCCACCATCGCCTCGCCGGCTTCCCCGCCTGCGTCGTCACCGATGGCGTCGTCAACTTCTTCCTGGCCCGCACCGACAAGGTGCGGCAGGTGGGCTTCGACCCCCGCCTGCGCCGCGTGGCTCATCTCGGTGAGGGGCTGGGGGCACGGGGAGGGGGCTGCAAGGGGTGGGAGGGTCCTGGGGGTGCCCGCGGTGCTGAGGGGTCTGGGGGATGAGTCTAAGGGGGTCCCAGGGTCCTGGGGGATCTGAGGGGGTCCCGAGGATGAGAGTCCTGGGGGTCCTCGGGTCCCCCTGGGGGTCTTGAGGGGTCTGGGGCTGAGTCTAAGGGGTCTCAGAGGAGGAGGACCCTGAGGAATTCAAGGGCATCCCGGAGGTGAGGGGTGGATGAGGGTCCTGCGGGTCCCCAGGTCCCCCTGGGAGTCTGGAGGGGTCTGGGGTCAGGCCTAGGGGGGTGCCGGGGGGAGGGGAGTGGGATGTGGAGTCCTGGGAATCCCCGGGGGAGGGAAGGAAGGGCTGGAAGGGTCTGGGGGATTCCAGGAGAGGGGAGGGGAGTCTGGGGGTGTCCTTGGAGGGGTCTGAGGAACCTCAGGAGAGGGGAGGGGAGTCTGGGGGTGTCCTTGGAGGGGTCTGGGGAACCTCACGGGAGGAGAGGGGGTCTGGGGCAACGCTGAGGGTCCCAAGGAGGGGGAGCAGGGAGTGCCTGGGGGTGTCTGGGGTGTTCTGGGGTCTTGGAAATGGGGCAGGGGGGCCCAAACTGGATTAGTGGGGAGGTGGGAGGAGCTGCAGGGAGAACCAGGAGGACACAGAGGAGGAGTGGGAGCACCCAGGGGTGTCCGGGCATGGGAGGTGGGGGATTCTGAGGGCACAGGGGGGGTCTGGGCGGCATCGAGGAGTGTCCAGGGGTCTCAAGGGGGAGCAGACGTGGCTAAGGGTGGGGGAGGGGGCGGTTCAGGGGGTCTGGAGGGGTCAAGAGGGGCTGGGAGATTCCTGGAGCATCTTGGGGTCCTGATGGGGGATCTGGGGATCATCGTGGGGGAAATCCTGGGGGGGACTGGAATTTCTCTTAGGGAAACCCCTGGGGCAGCAGCAGGGGTGGAGGAAATGCCAGGGGCCCCCAAAATTCAGGGGGTCAGAGATAACGGGGGATGCTGGGATCCCCCAGAATGGGGTCAGAGATAACGGGGGGATGTTGGGATCCCCCACAATGGGGTCAGAGATAACGGGGGGATGTTGGGATCCCCCAGAATGGGGTCAGAGATAACGGGGGATGCTGGGATCCCCCACAATGGGGTCAGAGATAACGGGGGGATGCCGGGTTCCCCCCACTGCAAGCCCAGGGGATCAGAGTCGGGGTGAGCGACCCCAGGGCAGCTCTGAGCCGGTTTTGGGGCGCCCCTCTCCCCCCCAGAGTTCTTCATTGACGGGCTGGGGGTGCTGCACGTGGGCTCGTGCGAGGACGTGGTCGTGGACCACGCGTCCAAGCTGGCGCTGCCGTGGCGGCGCTCGGAGGGGGAGCGTCAGTACAACCGGTACCGGTACCCGGCGGCGCGGGACGACAGCCTGCGCCTCAAGCAGCGCCTCTTCTTCTTCAAGAACCGCTTCAAGTGCATGGCTGGCGACTAAGCGTGGCCACCAGCCCCGGGCACCGGCCCCGGGCACCGGCGGGGGCGCCGCAGCGCTGCTGACACTGGGGTGACACAGGGGTGATGTCACCCCCGGGGCACCCCCATGTGCCACCCCCAGGGTGCTCACAGGACCGCTGACACAGAGGTGACACAGGGCCACCACCCGCAGGGTCACTGAGCACGGGACACCCCATGGACATCACTGACAGGAGCCCGGGCCATCAGCGCGGGCCACCTCGAGGGTCACTGCTGCCAGCCACCCCTACGGCGTCCCCAGAGCCACCACAGCCATGGGCTACTCCAAGGACCACTGGCCACATCTGGGGCACCCCCAGGACACTCCCAGGGCCACTGACTCTAACGGGCCATCTGTGGGCCACCCACAGGGCCACTGTTGTTGGCCACCTCAAGGCACCACCGGGCTACCAACCCTGGGGCATCCCTAGGGTGGCCACTCCTTGTGGCCACCACCCCCGGCTGTCCCCAGGGTGCCCACAGGGCCACCCCCAAGTGTGGCCAAATCCGGGGCCACTGCCGCTATGGTCCAGCTCCAGGGTCATCACTACCGTGGCCACCCACCCACGGGCCACCCCACGTGCCCCCTGTGGCCACCCCCAGGGCCACCCCATGTGCCACCACCGGCGGCTGCTCCCAGTGGTGCCCCGAGGGCCACCACCCCTGGCCACCTGCGGGACACCCCCAGGACCACCCCCTGTGGCCACCCCCAGGGCCACTCCCAGGGCCACTGCCATGGGCCACCACCCAGTGCCACCACCCAGGGCCACCAGGGGGTCCCCGGAGCCCCCCCGCCCCCCCGCGGTGTTTTTAGCTCTTTTGTACTTTGGGGGTGGGGTGGTGGCGGGGTCCCCCCGGTATCGGCTCCCCCCTTCTGTTGTCCCCAACTCCGTTTTCTATTGTCCAGCCCCTCCCCCGCGCTGCCGCCAGGATTTTTGTGCCAAGTCTCGGCCCCTCCCCCCCCTGGACCCCCGGAGACCCCGGGGTGGGTGTGGGAGGGGCTGGGGGAGGGGCTGCCCCCCCCCTTTTCTACCCAATGGATGGCGAGATTTTAACCAGCCCGAAATCGGCCTCTTTCTTCCAAAAATTGGGAGGGAAGAAGGGGGGGCGGGGGGCGGCCCAGGTGCCGTTCTCTGGGGGGGCCATAGGGCGTGGGAGGGGCTTTGAGGATGGGAGGGGCTACAGGGTCTGCAGGGGGGCTGTGGGGTGTGGTCAGTGGGGTGTGGTCA